AAGGTTGTATATTATCACTGTCTGGCAGATATTTGCATTGGCACCGGGTCTTCTGGGGGCTGGGTCTCAGTCCAAAGAGGACAGGCCCATGCTGGCAGCTGCGGCATCATGGCCAGCTGAGGGAGGATGTGGCCTTGGGCAGAGATCTTTTGTCCTCCTCCGGCTCCACCCGCTGCTACTTTGCAATTGCTGCCACTGCCCTGACACCCGAGACAGGCCTGAGAGGGAAGGAAGGACCAGAGAGGGGGGCTGTTTCTCATGGACTCTCATGGACTTCCTATCTAGTGCCCAGTCTTCGGGGGAAACGTTCTATGAAAACAAAAGCTAAAAGAAAGAGAGGGAGGGAGGTAAAGAAGGAGAAAAAGACTAAAAGCTAATAAATCGGTATTTTCCTGTATTCCAGCTGAGTCTCACCTGGGTCCCACAGTGAGCGGGTGAGCAGCTCACTGATGACTGGCTCGTTAATTGCATTATTGCATTTTCCTTAACTTCTCTACATGGAGATAACCAGGGATAGCTCAAAGAAGACATATAAGCAGTGAAACGGTTTGGATCACCACACCCTGTCTCACTATCTTGAGAAATAAAATCTGAATAAACATTTGTTGATGAACTGACCTGAGACCCATCTAAAAGATCGACTTGGGATATCTTTACAGAAATGGTTAAATACCTGCAGGAAGTGAACGATGGCTCACTCACATAATAGGTGACTATGTCCCATTTAAAATGAAGCTACAGGCTCAGTGCCTATAACTCAAGCGGCTAAGGCGCCAGCCACATACACCTAAGGTGGCAGGTTCAAATCCAGCCCGGGCCTGCCAAACAACAATGATGACCGCAACCAAAAAATGGCCAGGCATTATTGCGGGCGCCTGTGGTCCCAGCTACTTGGGAGGCAGAGGCAGGAGACAAGTTTGAGTACAGGAGCTGGAGGTTGCTGTGAGCTGTGATGGCACAGCACTCTACCCAAGGTGACAGCTTGATGCTTTGTCTCAAATAAATGAATAAATAAATAAAATAAAATGAAGCTATAAATCCACACTTACTGACATCTATATACTATGAGTCCAAAATAGTATGTATATGAGTCCTATGCACTTCTGCATGTAAAGATTTATGACTAATATACATTAAAATTTAGCAAGGATTGTCTTCTGATTTATGGGTCTCTTCTTTCTGTATAATGTTCCTATCATAAAAAATA